CATTCGCAAATTGCGCTCTTCCATGAAGTAAATAAAGAAATTATCAAAGGAAATAGACACAACTTATAATAATATTTAGATCCATGCAATATCATACTATTATTTTTTAACACTATGACGATTATTATACACCCGTACATACTTCGTAACCACAAGAAATAGACACACATCATAAACTCTTGTTTGAAGGACTTTATCGAGGGGAGGGGGCGAAAGGTATTTCATTAAATATTTAAACTGCGTTATAGCTAAAAGATCTCTGGAAAGTTATTTAAGTGTATCTAAAAACACAATATCCTTTTCTTGACTGTCTCTCAGTTCACAAAGTCTCTATATTCCTTTAAGGCAATATCTGATCAAAAACATTTGTATCTTATATGTGACCTATTTTGAAGTTTTATTAAAAACAGAAGGTTTTCGGTTGCCCAAGGGGCTGGCGGTCTCTTAATTCTAGCTGTTTTAATGTAGCATGAATATCAAATAAATAATTCATATTATTCTTTAAAAAGTCAATTTGTACGTTTATATCATCAAAACAGTACAAAAGTCCCAGTTAATTAATAGACTATTCATAAACAATTCATTATCCAATACCGAAAAATCTTTAAAGGTTGGACGGCAGGGATCTGAGATATCATCATTAACTTGAATATTGTCACACATGCATAAATCAGGAAGAGTTAACAACATCAACATTAAAATCTTCGACAAACATAAAAAAATCAAACAGAAAAATAAGTGCGGAAAAGAAATTTTCCAGAGAGTCGAAACATTGATGTATGTTGTTCTACATTATTAACATTATCATATTCAGAGATATCTATAACCTTAACTTAAAAATAACTGAGATAATAAAAAGCCACCACGTGTTCGGTGGTCAGTCCTTACAATGTTATAGCCATTATATCTGGGCGACAGTTACCAGATCTCTTAACTGTGTTTATTATTTTTATTAATATTTAATTAGTTTTGACAGTGGCGGAGCTAATGTTTAATAAACGTCTATACTATTACGAATACATTTACTGACGGTCAGAACGGACCAATGTCAAAACACCATGATTAAAATCTACTATTTAGAGTGTTTCAATTTAAATGTCGTCTTTAACTTCCTCCAAACAAGTCTTAGTTTTTATTTCATTGTAAGGAAAATAGTTTTTTTGTAAAAGTCAAAGCTGCAACAATATTTTGTTTGCTTTTGAATGTGAACAAGAAATTGGGTACCTGTTTAGAAAATTTGAGAAATACATAAGTCGCATATCGTTTGTTTGAGGTTATAATGATGCCGGTAATACGTCAACCATCTGCTAGCGAACAGCTTGAAAATAATAACAAAACTATGTTACACTTGGCTTGACTTGGCATATATGTTACAAACTAGTAAACAAAGTTATTCAATATTCAACGAGAGGGGTCAAACAGTAAATAATTAGCAGTCATGACCTTATACAATATGTACGATCCATTATTTCCCAACCAAAACCAGATCGATTGAGCTTTATGTATTTTTGACGCCAAGGCCGAGTGTTTCACAGTTCCTATAGAGAATAATATAACGTCCTTTGACAGTCCACGATTATCATTTTTTTTGTGCCACACACTTTGTGGATTGATTTGTTCGTAATAATCATTGACCTTGTATACCAAGGAAACTCAACAAACCCATTTTTGATTTTCGATTGGCACATGTTTTATGCGGCCTTGTTATTTGCGCATGTCAATTGGCACTACGACCATGCTCTTGAACAGAAAAACTTTACGTTAGGCAAGGTTAAGATATTTGTCCGGTTAATTTTGTGATTAGCTAAGTACAGTACAGATATAGAAATTGTTAGAGATTAATTTTCAACGAAACTGGCAGAATGATACAAGCAGTCGTCGTCACAAGAAGTAAAAGAAAGACATTCCAAACCGCGCTTATTACTTGACATTTGACACACCTAGTCGAGACAGTCTATTAAAAATCGCTTTTTAGAAAATTAGTTTATTTATATATGTTGCTTTGGTATAAATAGCATGCGTTAATCTGATGCTATTAGAAAAAACTGTTTCCTTTACTTAATCGATCCACCAATCTAAATAAGGTAAAGGTAAGGTAAATAAAAGTAAATATGTATTACATACAAACACAAACACATTGCCATTGAGGGATCTTCAACATAGGAAAGTTAGTATATAAGATTTAAAAGACAAAATTTTACACAGGAACATTGAATGGTAGTTTTGATTTAGCAAAAAATATTTTAATATTTTTTTAAAACAGTTTTTTTTTCAAGGTTTGGGTACAGTGGCTATTTATTTTAAATAATTCATTTAGGCTTTTTATACCCATATAGTTTGAATCTTGTGGTCCAACGTGAAATCTTGGAAACGGTAGGTGGTACAGCTTTTTATTCGTAATGTTATATTCATGCGTTTCGCATCTCTTAATGATATTTTTGTTATGATTTTTTGTGAACATTGTTAAAGAATAGATATAGAGATAAGGGATGATAAGGGATAAGGTAATAATTTCTACGTGAGTCTGAGCTTCTTATGACGGCAATTGATCTTATGACTCTTTTTATGGAATAAACATTTTATAAAAATAATAAAAAACAATGTGAATTAATTTTCAGTAGTCCATGTGAGTTGTTGATCAATAAATAATCCCAAAAATTTTATTGCAGAATCATTTAATAAGGACTTTTTAATAGAATGCTGGAATTTATTATTCCATTTTTGACGGAAAATTCTATTAATTATATGCCTGATTCTTCCTTTGTCTTAATATCTTGTTTTCATTTTTCCGATATCATTGGAAGCGTCAACGAATGACACAGGAAGTTAAAGATATCGAAGGACTAGCCAAATATACGTAAAAAAGCTTTGGTTGCCACCAAAGGTCCCTGCGGTGTGCCCTTTGTTTAGTGGACCATTTCTGTCAGTTGGAACCCGTCAGTTACGTAGGACCTGGTTCAGTTGAGATGAGTTCGTCTAACATCTTTGTTAAAGAGGCTATTTTTTACATTTTACCAAGAAGCTTCCACAGGCTACAGTAACATTTTCAAGAAAGAATCTAGCAGATTTGTAAATAGTTTGAAGGGAACTCGCAATTTTCTTGACCAATGCGAGATTCCAATCGTACATACGGGCCGCTCTGTTTTGCGAAATAAAAAAACATAGAAAATGTTCTAGAACCATTTTTATCACCATTTTCGTTATAATTAGTACTCTATTTTCTCATGATGCATTAAAAAGGTACGTGTGTAATCAGTACGGAACTGAATTTGATTTATCTCAAAGCCTGCTGCAATTTCCCAAGTTTACATAATTATTCCTCGCATGACTTGACTTGTACCTAATAAACTTCAAATTTCTGAAGTCCTAAGTTGGTCCGATATCTGTTGAGGGAATATTAAACGGGTTGTCGCGAGCTATGGCAACGTCAAATTAATATACCTTCAGTTCTGGAGTTTGAACATAGTTTAATAGGTATATATGATATTAAGCGAGGACAAATTCTTTAAAGAGAAATATCGAAATTGCCCTGCCAATTTTAAATTGGACGGCATTAAAAAAAACTCTTAGGAAATCTATTCGCGAAAACTAGCGAAAGCAACTAAATCGGGGCTCGAGTGGTAAATCACTCGAAATAGGCTCTTTTATTGCCGGACCCAAACGTAATAAGTAACCATTGTTTTTCAATTACATGAAATTAGAGAAACCTTCCTTGTTTTAATTCGTCTAGGCGTAGATAAATTGCGGTATTGCCAGCATACGTGAGCTCTATACCAAGTGCCGAATTCGGATTGTACGAGGCATAGCCTCTGAAAGGAAGTAATTTGAGGTAAAATTCGTAAAGCGATACGTGGAAAAGAAAATTAAATTCTAAGTCTAAGATCGCAATTAAAATTTCGACGAAAATTTGTGATTGCAATAGGATGGCATTTTACATATTTACTTCGACAGAAATTAAGCGCTGTTATACACCACAAACAGGTATTTAAAATTTTTGCAGCTCACATCTAAGATGTAAGAAAACTTAAAGCTAGTTTTTTTTCAAAATTTTGTTAGTTAGTTAATTTGGGAGAGAACTACTTCGTATTTATCGAATTTATTCTCAATCCTAAGTATACAGGTTAAAATGTGGACCATGTACTTATATATTGGACAAACAGGGAAATCTTTTAATAAAACATATTAGCACAAAAGATCATATAAAAATAGGATTTCGGATTCCCCCATTCCCCATTCCCACCATAGATTTACATTCGAAAACCACAAAAGAAAAAACTGTTATACAGAAATAAATATTTAATGAAAATCTGAAACAACGTTTGCTCCCTTTTAACTTGATTTAAGATGTTTTCGCATCAGAAATTACAAAATAATTGTTGAGAATTTTTACAAGATGTATTTAAATGTAGAGAAGCTTCAAATTGCTCAGCTTTAAAGTACTCAATCTACCTTCTCTAATATTTAAATATAAATCCAAAATTATGAAAGTTGTATAAACATGTTTTTGTTTGATCTTCTTGTGATCGCAGAAATAATTTGTTTGAATTTAATGGTTTACATCAATTGGAATTCCGAAGAGCTCCAACTAATGATAGAGTAATTACTCAGAATTTATGAGGAATTACTCTACTCTTTACGCTTGACCTCGTGAGATGAGAAAAGGTAAAATTTCCAACAGTGTTAAATTTACTTACTAGTTCAACTTCTGTAATTTGATAATTCTGTGGATAATTAATTCATGGGGTATATTGATTATTTTTGTGAGCGTTATTTATTAGGCAAAATTCTTACCCAACTGCAACATTGCTCTTGACTTTTTTGTCAGAAATTCTGACTTGTTTATTGATAGGAAATTTTTTGACTAACTTTGTTGTCGTGAGATTTAACCAATCGACCTTTTCACATCCCTAAGGAAATACTCCCTTAACGTTATCCTAACGCGTGATTCCACGTCTTTCAGAGCGTGTCTATATCTATTAAATGAGGGAACTGAAACTTACCGACGACTGTCATGTAAGAGTGTTCTGTGACTGTTTGAAACGAAGGCGCCTCTCCCGAGACCTCGCATCGATATATGCCGCTGGATGAAAGTTGAACCGAACACAGGATAACGGCGTTCTGCGTGGAATTATGTAGCTGGAAAAAAAAACTTTGATGGACGCTAAGAGCTACTTCGAACGTTGCCATTTTTCATAACCACATCCGCTTAACATTTGAAAATAGCCGAAATATATAGCAATTACTCTATTTCTAACGAATATAAAAGGATTTTTTGTATGGTCAAAGAGTTATACTTCTGTTCATCAAAGGCCGCCAGCGACGCGTCCCCTGACGACGCTGTTAAAAGCTTCAGCGTCAACCTTTCCGGCGAAGGTATAAAAATTCCATTAATATTTAAATTGCTCTATCACGGATCAAGCTTCATCTTAATGAAATGTAAACAGTTTGTGGACATTTCGCGTACATTTATAATTTCTTCTTATTAAATGTTTGCGTTTCTCTAGAAATTTTCCGACCTAGTATAACTAGCCAGGGACGTTTCTCTTTAGAAGATGTTGAGGGGTTGAGGAGATTTTAAAGAAAGTGGATTGCGCTTGACAATGCTCCTTTTTGTCGTAATAGCCTTTATCTTGGATCACATTTCACGGATTTCATTTCGCCCACACTGCGGAGATTTTTTTGTTAGCACACAAAATCCCTTATCCTTATCAAGTAAATAACATTTCGTTCGATTTTGCAATGATTTATATTTTTTGTCTCTTTCATTTGTTTCTTTGCGTCCACCCATTGAAAAGACAAAATGTTGGAATTCTCCGAGGAAATTATCCCAATTTATCGCCAACCCTAACGAAGTTCAAAATGAAAGAATGCCTCTTGAGTTGCTTTATCTGAATAACTAAAATTATTATGACGATGAAGCTGAATCATAAAAAAATCATTTAGTGACGTCATTCTCTCACTCTGAAACCATTATATTATGTTTCAAGAAGAGATCTTGGTAATAGTTTTTGAAAACAAATAATATAATGAAGTTTAGTTAAATATTATCAATATTATTCAGTAAACATTCAGTTTTTTATTTAAAAAAACTTCTGCTAGCTTTTGCTCCTTTATTGCAAAAAAAATGGTCCGCTGCCTGAAAATTTTACAAATATGCAGTTTATAAATCTTCTCTCTTGCCTTCTATCTTTTTTTTCTACATGTCGGGGTCGTTCTTCTATAAAAACGCATCAAAAAAATTTACCATTAAAAAATTTTTTGATACTTTGCACAGAAGTTCAAAAAGTTACCAAAACTTATGAAAAAAACAACCTTAGTAGTTCAGAATCTGACGCATCTACCTCGGACTTTATTATAATTCACAAAAACTAATATAATTTTTTTATTTAAACAAAACTGCGAGTTATACATGTTATTACAGTTGATGTTTAATTTGCTACTATTTTTCTTTCAGATATTCCATTTCTCTATAGTTTCTATTACTCAAGTTATAACATCGTTTACAATATACTGTTACATTTAAGAAAAAAGTTTTGTAATGCAAGTGAAAGGCCCCGTAGCAGCCGTATCTCAGAAACAATTGCTTGAAATTTCTTGACCAGTATAGTTTTTTTTTCTTAAAAATCCAAACTTTTCATATTAAATAAAAAGAATATGTTTCTGTTTAGTTTTTGAAATTGACAATTTAAAGGCAAAATAAAAACGTACCTTTTTTAATTTAAAATCAGAATGTTAGGACCTCTGGAAGGAGGCCTATAACCTTTTCATTATTGTTCATATAATTAGCTTCGAAACGAATAAGTCCAGTACCGTGTCCTTCGCTATATTGCTTGTTAAGTTAGTTGTCGACCTGACTAACTACTAAGTTTGAAAACGCTTAAAACTCGAGGCTAATGTTCCTGTTCAAAGTTATTAATTTCTGTTGTTTTTGTCCTCCCATTCTGTCAAAAATAGGATTTTGGTCACCAATACGAATGACTCGTCTCAATTTTTGGTACCGTACCATAGTACCAACTATGGACGTAATACATCATTCATCGCAAGTTCGGCCCGGCTGGCCAATGTAAACGAGCATTTGAACATTTTTGCTACTGAGGGTAGGTTTAGGAAAAAGATTCAAGCAAGAATAACATAACATAGCTTATTTTTTATTTTACTTTATGTTTCTCTCCTTAATTTGCGAAATTGTAACGTAGGCTTTTGCTTTTAGTTTTTACTTTTGTACCAACCTGTAATTTAATTGTGCATTTTTCCTGTTTTTATGTATGAATTTCCTCTGATCGTAAAATTGACCACTGCGGGATACCAAATTTAAAAAAAAAAATGCAGACAATATTCTATGAAATATTGGCCTGTTCCGGAAGTTTTAACTAACATTGTTAATTTAAAACGTTTTTAAGAGAAAATAATAATAAAACTGTGTGGCGTTGTACCTAAAATGAAGTGTCGCAAGAGTTCTCAGCTTTTTAATTATTGTTTAACATGCGCAAAATTCAAAGGTATAAAACAATATAGATATAGATAGAGTTTGTTTATATCTTAAAGAAATATTACCTTCCATGCAAAATTTTGACAGACGGCTTGAAAAGTGGTCTCAAATACATGAAAATATCAAAAATTAAGCCGTACATACAAGAGGGTAAACCAGACTGCATAAGGCAATTAAAAAATATGTATTGATGGAGAAAAAGAAAACATTATACTGAGCAATCAATTTTTGGTAGTTTTGACGCACTTTTGCCTATTCTGATTAGTGTTACGTTTTCTTTTCCTCTATCGGTATTTTATTAGATACAACTACCTTAAAGAGAAACACAAAATTATCTGTATGGTTCTTGGTTTTTCATGTGAGCATTCTAGAACATTCCTAGAACTTTGCTGCTAAAAATGGTTGTGTTCCGCACTTTTTTCAATTTCATGTGACGTACTTTTGTATTAAAATTGAGATATGAAGGTAGCGATGATTTTTTTTAATTCGCTTTAAGCTAAGCTGAGATAGTCAGGATATTTTTTTAAATTCATTTTAACTCTGAAGTAGTAGAGAGTAATTTAAAGGTAAAGGTTGAACTCAAATAAACCTTAGTATATTTAAGGAAATGTTTTTTTCTACTCCCGTCTGTAAAATACCTAATTACCCAGCGATCCAGCGTGCGGAAAGCGCCACTTTACCACGTCAGTTTCCTTTCCCATGAATCCGAGCCACTTCGGACATTTCCGGGATTTTACCGCACGGATTTGGAAGGAATCGGATGTTTTCAGAGATATTTCCCACGCTTTGAATTTTGACGTTTGTCAATTCTGACAATCATGTCAGTGAATGTACTCGTGTTGCTTTGCGAAAAAAAATGTAAGCAAAAACTAACGGTCGTAGAAAAAGTATAGTATGCAACACGTTCGGTAAACTTTTTAACTCACTCGTTTATTGAACACTCGCTCCACTCGTGTCAAATAAACTCGTGAGTCAAATGCCGTTTACCGCACTTGTTGCATAATATAATATTTTCTACTCCCATCTGTAAAACACCTAATTATCTACACACCGACCTAGCATACGGGAAGCGTCCCTTTAACGAATGTTTTCGGAGGTATTTCCCACGCTTTGAATTGAATTTCTCACGGTCATGTCAGTGAATGTATTCGTGTTGTTTTGAGAAAATGTACTCAAAAACTAACGGTCGTAGAAAAAGTACAGTATGCAACACGTTCGGTAATTTTTTAAGTTACTCGTTTATTAAACACTTGCTCCGCTCGTGTCAAATAAACTCGTGAATCAAATGCCGTTTACCACACTTGTTGCATAGTATATATATATATATATATATATATATATATATATATATATATATATATATATATATATATATATATATATATATATATATATATATATATATATATATATATATATATATATATATATATATATATATATAATATGGTACAGCCCTAGTCTTAAAATCAGGAATATTAGCTATTTGTTTGCAAGTACCGAAATCAATTTTATGGCCTGTCTGATGTTGGTGCTGAAACAAAGCAGATGTTGTTTGTTTGTTTCTTATGGCTAAACGATGTTCCTCGAGCCTGGCTGAAATCCTTCTGTTGGTCTGTCCCACATACGTCAGGCTGCACGATCCGCATGCTACACTGTATACTCCTTGGTTTTCCAGAGTAATTTTTTGTTTTGGGTTTCTTAGTATTGCTCCGATGGTATGACCAGGTTTGTATGCCGTTGATATGTCGTGTTTCCGTAATATTCGGTCGATTTTGTCAGTAACCCCTTTGATGTATGGCGGGACAGCGATCGATCTTCGGTGGGTCTCGTCCTGCACTCTCTGCTGCGGCTGTTGTTGTTTACCGATTGCATTGTTGATGATGCGCCTTTGGTATCCGTTTTGTCGAAGACAGGTACTAATTTTTTTCAGTTCTTCATCTCTGTTCCTCTCGTTTGTGAGCCTGAAGGACCGAGCAATTAATGTATATGCCACTGCCTGTATCTGATGAGATTTAGCGTTCAGATATCTATTAGTGTGTGTTGGTTTTCTATAGACAGTGTGTTCCAAATGTCCGTCTTCGGTCCTTGCGATGTGCACATCTAAAAAGGGCAGACTGTTATCCTCTTCAAGTTCTATTGTTAATTGAATCCTTTTCAGATGATCTAGGAATTTCAAAAGCTCGTCTTTGCCAAAAGGCCATACAACAAATACGTCATCAACGTATCTTGTCCATAGTTTTGGCTTCAGATTTGCCTTCCCTCTTGCTTTCTTTTCGAAGTAAATCATGAAGAGGTTGGCAATCGCAGGTGAGAGAGATGATCCCATTGCTGCTCCATCTATTTGTCGGTAAATTTTCCCGTTGTACATAAAGTAAGCGTTTTTCAGGCAATATCTTGACAGATCTATTATGTACGGCGGAAGATCTTCGTTTTCTTCTATAAGCAAGAGTGCCTCTTCTACTGGAATGCTCGGGTAGAGGGATTTGACATCGAAACTTGCCATAATGTCGTCCTTGTCCATCCTGAGAGAACCTAAAATCTGAGTGAAATGTTCTGAGATGTTTTTCCAGCTTGCATAATGGTGAGTTAAAGGCGCTTACGATTGCACGCAGGGGAACCCCGTCTTTATGGATCTTTGGGAGCC